TGGAGGAAGCAGCAGCAATACAGGACTTACTTTTGATCGCCGCTGCAATCCCACAGCTCCAAACGACACGCAGCTCCCTTGCTGTTACCGTTTAGGTTGGGCTTCTCGTACTCCAGGATCCTGTGGAAGCAAGCAGCCACCACACAAATGGTCACAGCGCACAGGGCCACGGCCGGGCTGCCAGGGCGGCAGCGCACAGGGTCTGCTCACCTCACTCCTTGCGTCGGGACGTAGCTGCCGATCCCTTCTATGCTCTCCGAGACAAAATTTGCCAGCACGGATTTTCCAGCCTGGCAGAAAGGAGAGCGAGAAAAACACCTGTGAGCTTAGCACGCCTCAGCCACAACAACGAAACGCGTTCACCTCAGCTCACCGCGACCCTACCCCCGCCCTCCCCTCCCACCACTGCCCGGCCGCAGCCTCCGCGTTTCGGGGCAGCCCTGAGGGATTGCGACCCTCAGGGCCCGGCGAGGCCGCTCCAGATTCACACCGAGACCCGGGGACGAGCGGCGGGGGGCGGCCGAGCCGGGGGCTCGCTCACCTCCCGGGGCCCCACCAGCAGCACCTTCGCCTTCAACATGGCGGCCGCGGCCGCGCTGCCGTTGGCGCCGCCGCCGTGAGGGGGAGCCCCGCGGGGGGATGGAGGCGGCCTCTCGCTGCCGTTTCGTGACGGAGCTCCCCGTGTGGAGGCCGGCTCGGTCCTTGAGGTGCTCCCGTGCCGGATTTGAGGCGCTGTGAGCCGGGGGACCGCAGGTTCGGTGTCCCCCGAGTGGGGCTGTGGTGTCCCTCGCTCGTGTGAGGAGGCGCTGTCCCAGCCTGGAGTTTCGCAGCAGATTTAGCTGCGGGTTCTCCCTGAGTGAACAGCACAGCAATCTCTTGAAACTTCTTATTAAGTTTTCTTAGGTAAGCGTGAGGCTTTTTTAAGAGGCAAATCCTCAGTTAAAAAAAACAAAACCCAGCAAACACCCATCTGGCAGACAGATGTGCCGCTTCAGAGCTGTTTAGTGCCCAGGTACAATAACAGTTTTAGATGAGCTTTCAAATAGGGCCTTTAGGCGCTACCATAATGTAAATGTTTATTACTAGTACTACCAATAAATGTGAACCAGAATAGCTCTGCGCCCTCACTGAGGGGTAGAGCCTTTTCTATCGCACTGTGGGCTGATTTGGCTCTTTCACTGCTTTCATGGGGCAGTTGATGGCTGTTCAGCGTGGCAGTGGCATCGCGCTTCTCATGTGATTATAAACTTCAGACAGGCCATAGTTTTCAGGCCGGTTGGACAAAGACGATGCAAAAGGTGGTGGTTGGTCCTAGCAGTGGAGATGATTCTGTCGTAGCTGACTGGGTGTTTTCTGTTTGTGAAGATCGTCCTGTGAGTCAGGACCAAATTCACAATTAAATAAGACATTTTGTAGTTTTCTGCTGCTGTGTTGTTTTCCATATTTCAGGCATAGTAATTTCTGAAGAAAAAACAGAAAGGGTGACCCAGAGAGAAGAAATTAACACATTTCTCTTATTAGCTGGCGCATGCCATTAAATGCCATGTCCACAAGCATGTGAAGAGAAATGTGATATAAAGAAACCTATTTTGGACAGCAAAGCAGAAGAGGAAAATAATGAACAAGAGGTAAGAGTGAAATGAGGTAAAACTGGCTGTTTGTGCAGCTGCCCAGAAAGCAATTAGGATTAATTTTTAGATGAGGTGTCAGATAGCATCTTTGTGTGTTTATGTTAGCCACTGAAGAGTAAGGAGAGCACAGCTGTCTAAGGCTGCAATTTTCAGATTTATCCATGTGATTTAGGGTTTTAAGTCACTTTAGAAAGTGGGAATTAAGCTGCCAAGCCACTCAGGGTGACATTTTGAAAGGCATCTAAGTCAAGTACATTTGATGTTATCAGCATCTGCCGTAGGCCTGAGTAAAGTTATGTTAGTTACTGATGTATTGTTTGCCGAGACTACACGTGTGCAAATCGGCAAGGCCATTTTGTTTCACTTATTTCAAACTCTTTGTTAGACTACAGAAGAGAGAAAACTCCAGCTGTAAGTGAACTACTTCCAGACCATACTGGTAATGGTCTATAAGTCTTGCATTTATTAGATGGCAGTTTTTCCACCATAATGTTTGGTAGCAAGCAAAAATGATCATCTCCAGATGATTCTCTGTGGACAGATCCTCCTTCTTCCTTCAACAGCCAGAAACAATTGCAGGCTATCAATAATATTTCACTAAACTATTCTTCACTCTAGAAATCTCTGTGAGAATTCAAACTAAGACACATTGATTGCCTTATTGTGGCATGTGATGCTTGTTGCCTGAACTGCAGATAAGAGGACTTTGCCTCCAAGTTAGAGGCCCACAGGTTTTACTGGAAGCAGCAGTAAAATGCAGTGCCAGTCACCTTTCAGAGAATACTTTAGCGTTTGCAAATCATTCAGTCTTTTGGAGAACAGTATTTTAAGTTTGCATTATATTTTGTTTAATGTGGCATATAAATTTTTTCCTATGAAAACAACTCAAAAAATCTTTCATAAGTTTGTGGCTCAGTACTGGTACTTTGTTTAATGCACTGTAACAATATTTCCAAGCTTTGGGAAACATACCCTGGAGCAGTCAAGTTGTGTGTGAAAATAATGCCTTGGTTAGAAGTACAACCACATGGCAAGACTTACCATGAGAATAAACGCTCTGCCTGTTTGCTGTGTGTTGCATGACACTGTGTGTGTGTGCAGAAACAGCTTTCTAATGGATGCAGGTGGAGACCTGCATTATATATCCTGTTTGTTTATACCAATCATTTTGGGGGCAAGCCATAGAATGAAAAAAAAAAAAAAGAAACACCAATTCATGTGTGCTGAAGCTTGTTATTAAAACTTAACAATAAAAACAGTATTGTTGTAAATTGGAAGCATGTTGCTGAAGAAGCTCAGGGAAGCAATATTCATCCAAGGTTCAATGCCTAATTGATTAAGCAGGTAAACTGAGGTAGGCTGTTGAAGGGTTGTATGAAATGTGGCTGTCCTAAATCTAATAAAATATATAAAATAATTTTATTTTATCCTAAAAATAATAGAGTTTCAGTAGAGCTATGTAAAAGGACCAAACAGGAACAGGACATTAAGGTACATGGACAGGGGTGCGGTGGGGTGCTGCTCTTTATCATGAGACTGTTTCACTTAGAAGTGGCTACCAGGGAGGTGTAAGTGATCAGTTCAGTATTTCTCTTTCTGAAAACCTATTCTGGAAGCAGTTGAAAAGGCTTGTGCAAAACCGTTGCTTGGTTCATACTAACAGATTATCAAAGACTACATTAAGAGGAACAGTACCAGCTCTGATTTATCTGTTATCTCAAAGTCCTCTCCAGAGGAGATCAGGATCTTCACAGATGGAGAAATTAAAGCATAAAAAATTTAAATGACTTGCCTGAGGAGCCCACCTGGCTGACAGCAGAGCTAGCTTGGTTAAGATGTGTTTCAGTTTCAGTGCAAAGTTTTTTTCAGGCAGGTTGTGGCTGTTCACAGAAGAGGCAGGCAAGCAGACAACTCAGTAACCAATGTATTTTTCTGACCAGTGGACATGAAGTCAGCCACATCTCTAGGGGCCCAATTCTCCTTGTGTTCCTTCGTCAAAGCCAGTGGTTGTTCCCAAGCACGAATTTGACTTGCTGCATTTACGCAATGATGTATAAACAACACCCAGGGAGCAGCAGTCTACCTCCATGATCCCTCCAAGACAGCACACCAAAATGCTCTAATTTTTCTGGTTCACGGTACGTGAAGCTAAAGATTTAGCTCTGATGGCTTACCTCTTAAGCTAAAGCTGTTTCAGATGCCTCTGATAGGTTTCATTCTGCTTATTCTGGTTGCTCCGATCCCCTTCTGTGGAGCAACAGTAACACCTAGTGGCTGAACGTGCCAGTCCATTGCCTCCTTTTGTTCCCTCCCTGCCAGAAGCACGAGTCGGAGGGGACGTGGTGTGATTGACAGCTTTGACTTGAGAGGCCAGCACTTAGGATCTCCAGGGATTTGCCATTTTCCTTTCAACCCCCCACCACGCTCTGTTTTCTATTAGAAGTGGTAGATGAAATACGAAACTCTTCCTCCCACCTCCCAGCCCCCTTCACTTTTCTGGCTCTTGGAGGAGGTTGTTCCAGTCCATCTTGATCTGTAGGTGGGTGGGCTGTGAGTGGCCAGGCCTACTACTTCCAGCTTGGAGGACTCAGATTTCTGTATGGAATCCAAACTTTTTTTCTTTTTCTTTTTCTTTTTTGTCTAGAAAAGGATCAAGCAGATCATCTGATGGAGGTTGGTGACCTCGGTGCATTTAATAACGTGGTGTTAACTTGCCTGCATTAAGGCAGACCAAACGGATCTGTTCTGAACAGTACCATTGCTTAAGATGTGGTATGCAGGATTGTTTGCCATGATCTACCGGGACTGCTATTTCATCAGAGGGGGACACCCTAGAAAAATAGCGTTTGAGAGGAAAGAACCCACAGATGTTTATTGTGTTAGCAGGAGAGCCCTTCAGAGGGTCTTCTCTCCCCCTAGCAGGGGAAAGTTTCAATTTTTCCATGGAAAAAAACATTAAGTGAAAGTATTTCTGCTTTAACCCAGATCATTTGCATTAGTAAACAGAGCTTCAATTCCTTGTGGGAATTACAGTACTAAGACATTACGGTCTTGTCACATTCATACTGCCTAATCTTCTGGTTTAGGCTTCTGGTTTAGGTATTCTGAATTACCCTTCAGAAACATTTGTTTAGGAGAATCTTCATTGCCTGTTGACAGAGCTTGGACTCTTAATTTGTGCTGTGGATACGTAGTCTTTTACATCTGGCATAAACTTGTATCACCACCCGCCCAAAGTAATAGAATTGCCTCCGTTCACATCCGCAAATCTGTTTAGTCCTGCTCCAGTTACCAGTTTAGAGGGAATTGAATTCAGCTGAAAAACCCCATCCCCTATCCCACCCCCAAAAAACAAAAAAAAAGAAAGGAGAGAGAATAGTTTTCAGTTGAATCAACTGCCTGGTGCTACTAACAGAGAAAAGGGAACAAGGACCAGTGGAGGTATGGCTAAATGGGAAAAGAATGGGGCTATTTCCTTCAGCTACTGTGCAGATACGTGCTGGGCATATATATGGGTGTACCATTAGTGAGAGCTCTTACATTGGGTGTTCTCAGTACCTCTTGGTGAAAGCAGTCAAAGAAAAACAGAGCCTGATGGTGAGGAATATTGTGCAGGGATGTGTTGGGCACCCTTTGCTCTTAGAAGAGGGCACGGCAGCCCTGGTGGGCTGGGTGAAAAACCTCACTGCATACGTGGTAAAAAACATTTCCTAGGTGGTAGAGTAGTGGGTGCTGGATGGCTAAGACAAGACAATAAGGGGATAACTGTGATTCGCAGGAGCTCTTGCAACCTTTTCTATTAGACCCATATGCTTTTTGTTTTCAATACAAAAATTTCAAAGTAAATGTTGTTTCCATTGACAGCTGTGGTGTCTGCCACCCCTGTTGGTCTGGAAAGAGTCTGCATTTATTAACATTGTCTGTTCTATTTATTCACCCTAGGCCAGATCCTCAACAACTTCAAGGAAGCAAGCAAATAAAGGGTGGATTCCTTTTTAGAGGGACTGCCATGTGGTCCTAAAGGAGAACACATCCTCCCAACAGGAAGACTTTGTTTTCTCTCATTTTTATTCTCTGTTTGACTTGTGAGTTGCTTTGGAGCTTATGGCCAAACCCAGGAGTTTCTTAACCCCACAGTCCTTCCAGGCATTTTGTTTCTGCTAACATTCTGGGCCACATCAGCTGTCTTTTCAGATATCTCACATTCATTTTCATTTAAGGCTCAATTAACCCTTGGCAGGCTGCCATTAGAGACAGCAGATTTATACCAGTAATTAGTATGTTTTGAGGAGTCTGAAACAAGATCTCAAATCCTTGCTGCTTTGCTTAATGCAGTGATGAATGCTTAACCCTACACCTTCAACTAAAAAAAAAAAAAAAAAAAAAAAAAAGCGTTGATAATTTTGTCTCAATTCCCTTTGAAACCTGGGAAAGGTAGTACATTATTTTCCAGTGTGACTCACTTGCAAGGTCCTCCCTAATATCTTAGAGTTATAAATACCCAGTTATGTGAGACTGGCACTTCAACATGATCATGGCCTGCCACTGTGGACTTGCTGCAGTTGAGGATCCTTGCATTTCTGCAGATGGGAGTGGAGTTAGAAGAAGCATGTTGTACTGTGTGTTTTAAACACCATGAGGAATGACTTGGAAGTACAGAAAGCGAAATAGACTGAGGAGTACCAAAGAGTTCCTATTTAGTACAGATTGTTGATCACGTAGTATTAAGTGGTTCATTATTTTACTGTTCTCAATAATTTGAGAATTAAAATCTTTTACTTTTGGCTTAGCTAGCAAGGTTATCATGAGCTGGGTTATAAAAATACTATTCTTCACCTAAGCACAGGTTTTTATAGTTTTCATCTTAATTAACAAGCTTCAGATTTAGATGGATTAATACAATCACTCTTTCTTTCTTTTGCTGTATAAGTTCAGAAGTATAATCTGTCACTTGTGAGAACATAAAGAATTGGACTGGAAGTGTTCCAGACTCTTTACTGTAAGTGTTCAAAGATTTAATGGAGTCCTCAGTCATAAAATCTTTAATTTGAACTAGACCTTTATACTCTCCATTCTTAAATTCACTATTTTTACATCCAGGGGATTTCCTGTTATCCAAGTATGTACGGAGGCCCTTTATTACCCTCTGTGTGTGTTTTTTAATTCAAATCAAATGTAACTGTCAATGGTAGATTGCACTTAACCTCCTTAGGTTCGTATTTCTTCTTTAATTGCATTACATCTTAAGGTTTAGCACTGGATATTTACTGCTGTTAATAGCCCGCCATATTTTAATGAAGTCGTTATCTTCTGCAAATATATACAGAACAATGGAGATTGATTATGCATGGTCTTTTGAAGAAACTATGTCTCAAAGCCATTTAAAATGAATAAACACAGAGGGAAGTTTCAGTAAATGTAGTTCCTTATGTAACACAGCTTCAAAATTAAGGACATGAGTGCTTGGGTTATCAAGACTGCTTGTCCTTGTCTTCCCCAGCCAGAGACTGCGCCTCAGCAGGTCACTGGTGTAACTGCAGTGAGCCTGGGCACGTCTTACAAGCTGTGGCTGTTCTCAGAGATGCTCCAGAAGTGCAGCACTGCTTTTTCCAAAGTCCACTCGCCTCCTCTGTAAGCTGGCCAGACTCCCTCTCCACCCAATGTACAGCTTAGCTCTGCAAATCTATTGTCAGTCAGTTCAGGGAAGTCTCAGAACATGGAAAGTAATTATCTAATTTTCTTGAAACATGTGAAGAAAAGGCAAGTATTACCTAGAGATCATGTACGGAAAATCTGGGACAAATCTGCTGTGCTCTGCTAGAAAGCCAGCCAGCTGAACACCTGTTTTCAATGCAAAATAGTGCATCACCCTTTGGTTGGGGCACTGCAGTGGCTTTTTCACAACAATCTTAGAGTTAAATACAAAAGATGTGAATTGAGCCAAACCATATTTGCTGTGAGACACTTCTTTCCAGGCACACAGTGAGGCTGATAGTCTCGTCCTACCATTCCACTGCACACCAAAATTCTCCTTAGTCTGGTTGAAAGATTTTACTTCTTTTTTTTTCTTTTTTTTTTTTTTTCAGGCAACAATCAGCCTAAACATTTTATAGCGTCTTATAGACTTCATCATTTCCTTTCTGCCAAGAAAAGAACAATTTATCTATCTCTTTAGATTATGTCTCATCTTGTTTCCTTTATTTGTTTTCTTCTTTTCTTTAATGATTTCTACTATTTTATACCATGCTGTTTTTTATTCCATTCCTATTATCCTTACAATAGCCATGATATGCAACAAAGCACTAAAACCTAGTTTTAGAGAGGCACTGACAGAGAGCTCTTGTAGGTCAGGGAGTTGAACCAGATTCCTTTTGCTCGTAGCCTGTGTATCCAACCTGCCTGGGACCTGGTGGTATGAGGGGCTACGCGCCTGTGTAAACCCAGAGGATTACTTAGGGATTGGTTTTGCATCTGTAGAGAGATTGATCTCTCTTAGGCAGAAGAGAAAGCAGAGAGAGATGAAGCTTTTCCTGTGGTGAAAAAGAGACCTGCAGTCTGTGTGAGGAGCCGAATAGTTGCAAAGCACACTTCAGAAGTTCCAGTTTGGGTTGTCTAGAAATGGAAGCCAGGAGGGGAGGGCAATCTGTATGCAACTGGTTCAGGAAGGTGCTCAGACTAAAGCTGGTTTGACATAGCCACTCAGGGGCCCTGGGAGAGGGCTGGATTCTGAATACCAGGCCCATTAGGTGTGGTATCCATTAGTGACAATAGAGCATTCTGTGAACACCTAAGCTAGCATTAGTGTATACGTGCATAGCCAAGAAATACTTGGATCCAGTTGCCTTGCAGTGACTTTAGCCTTTAATGCCTACAATGATTCTTTCGCATTTAGCACCTTAGTGGCCATTTTATTGCTTCCATGGAGGAATCTGTAAGATTCAAGAGAGGAGATTAGGTAAAGAGCCAGCTAAAGAGCAAGGCAGTGCCACTGAGCAGCGTTGGGGTTTACTTACCTCAGGATGAATGGAGCAAAATATTCATAATGGTAAATTGATAAATCTGGAGAATATTCTCTTTAAATAATCCCCAGAGCTCTCAGCCTAACACACAGCTGTAGAAAAAAGACCCCAACCACTGAACAGGATGTTGGGTTGCATTACGGTAAGAACAGAGTATATATCAAAAGAGGTGTTACTGTTATTACATAAAACACTGGTGAGTTCTTGTTCAGAGTGCTCTTTTCAGTAGTGCTCACTCTACCTAAGAAGGATATGATTAAGGGGATAAAGCAGGGAGAATGAAAATAATACTGTGCCTTTCAGGTCTAAGTTATAAAGCAAGACTGAAGAGCTTTGGTATTATCTTGTTTAAAAAGAGATCTTTCTGTGATTCAGTCAATGATTTTAAAATAATGAAGAGGATTAATCACGTTGAAACAGACAAAGTCTATGAAAACAAGGAGACTTAATTTAAAAAACAGAATCTTGGGAAAAGAATGAGGACAGAGAAGGGAGAGGCTCATGTGAATGCTTCAAGAAATATGTAATGTCAGTTACTGGTGGGGTCCCTTGAAACTAGAAGCTTTAGAGCATAATAAGGTGAGGGTAGATCTGTAAGGAAAATACGCGTATGATAGCGGATTGTGGTTGTCTGTTTACCAGTAACACATAAAATGCTGAAAGCCATGCCAGGGCAAGCTCGGAAACACCTGCAGCACCGAGGCAGCAGAAGGCCCTACAACATGGGTGGTGAGGTCCACCAGAGGCAAAGATAGCGCAGGAAGGCACTGACTGGCAAAAAGTTTGGTGAGCAAGGACAGATGGCTGTCAGGTGAGGAATCTGTGGAATAAGGCAAAGGAGAGAAGAGGGAGAAAGCATGAGCCTGGTACTAATCCACCTTACCTGCAGACACCTAGGGTGAAACTTTAGGTCATTTTAGGTTTTTGGGGTGTACAGGGGCTGGGAGGAGGGTACTCCTCTCCAGATGCACTTTCGTGTTTTGTTTGCCTTTATTTTCGTTAGGAAAGGGGTCAGCCCACACCCGTTTAAGTCACTTGCGCAATACGAAAGGGATGTTGGACTCCCAGTCATGGTGGGGTGCTCAAGTCAGACAGTCTGGATCCATAGGGAGGAGGATTTCAGGGCCAGAGTCCAAAACCGAAACATTCTTTCTTCATGAAAGTCCCTGCTTCTCTGGGATTCAGAGAGAATCCATGAGTCAAGATAGATTTTCAAATCAGATAAGTGTCTGGATAGCACTGGATTTGGATATCTTGCTGTCAGTGACTCCACTGAAAACTGCAGACTTGCCATCTGGTAGCTTCTTGCACCACGTGTTATAAAGTGCTTTGTTTCGTGGTAGAAGTTCAGGATTGTCCATGGCTTGGAGAGTTTGTAAGTTTGGTATTTATGTCCTGTACAGCGTCAAGGAAGCAGGCAGCCCTCTGGGACTGAATAATGCTTAATGAACCGTTAATGATCAGGAACATAATTTGAAGATATCGACATGAAGACAGACCTCCCAATGTTTTCTTTAGTGATCTCAGTGATGGGAGAGGGAAAACGCTTATTAAATCTGCAGATGAGGTGAAGCTGGGACTGAAAGCAAGAACACTGGAAGGCAGGATTAAAATTTTAAATGGTCTTGATAAATTGGTGATGTGATCTGAATAGAATAAGATGAAACTCATTAAGGACAACTGCAGGGCACTGCACTTTGGCAGAAATAGTTTTAACTAGCAAATAAAGGATGGGGAAAATCAGGCCAGCAGTTCTTCAGAAAAAAGGTAGAGGATCCCAAATTAAACATGGATTATCAATGATGTACAGATGCCAAAAAAGCAAATCCTCAACAGGGCTGTGCAGAAAAGATATTGCACAGAGGTATAGGTTACAGGTGCTGTGCTATGAGGTAGATGTAGACCAGCTTGAAAGACTAGGGGAAAATAACAAAAAAGGATCAGAAGAATATAACATATGACCTACAGGGAAAGTCTTAAGAAGTTTGGATTGTTTTGCTTCTAGAAGGCAAGGAGAGGTGTTCAAACGTTTTGAAAAGTACTTTGAGGAATTAAAAGTCTGCTCAAAGAGAGACAGGATCATTTTTTATGTCCATAATGGAGAAAGTAAGACATTGAGAGCTTAAATTACAACAAAACAGACTGAGGCTGGATGTTAAGAAAAACTACCCGTACAAAGAGGGAAGCACTGGAATATGTTGTCAGAAGAGCATGGGGAGTTTCTGTCTTGAGGCCTTTCAGAACAAGGCAGACAAATTTGTGCCAAGAGTAATCTATGTGTAATAGATCCTGCCTTCTAGCAGGGAGAAGGAAGAGGCATTAATCAACTTCCAGTCTTTCCTGGCTTCTATTTGTGTCTCCGCTGTGGCAGGTTTGAGCGCAATAGTCCTGGTGCTGCTGTGCATTGGCTTTACCACACCTGTGGGACTCCCTGCTTTATAGCTTTCTTGGTGAATCCTGGACGTCAGGGGTGTGTCAGAGTCCTTGTGCACGTGCAGGTCAGAGCGTCACTGCATGGCCAGTTGGGGGATTTTTTGCCTGACATCAAAGATCACATAATTTTTTCATCCCAGGACACAATAATACTCAGAATATGTGTAAATCCACTCCATGTTGGCATTGTCTCGCTGATCTTTTAAATCAATAATTTTCCATCTGCTGAATTATGTTTCAATCTAAGATATTTTATCCACTATATTGCTTTATAATACCCACACAAGTGCTTCACTCAGGCAAAATTCTTCTCTAAGGTCAATTAATTTTGCCAAAGTCATGACTTCTGGATCAATTCTTGTGCTTCATACAATACCACTGGATATTCTGTTTACCATATGCCCAACTGCTTGTGTGACTGTTTTCAGGTCTATTGCATTTTGATTGATTTATGCCAGGTCAGATTCAAGAAATCTTGAGGAAAAAACACACTGCCTTCCTCCTAGCTTAGAAAAAATACACAGTCCTCTAGATTTTCAGTTTGGTTCAGGTTTGGTTTGACGCCTTAGTAATAGACATTTTACAATAAACTTCGTAATCTCATAATTTAACTTATAATAGAGATGTTTAACTCTTACTGTCACTAAGCTCTTACCCATCTCTTTTGATTTTCCAAAGTTCCTTGATTGCTTTGTTAGATCACAAGGAAATAATCTAGCTTCCTTAGGAAGCTGCAAGGGTTTTATCCAAATGATGTTTGGGTTTAGATGGTCTTAATCGCTGACTTCTATCGAACATCAAAAGGACATTTAATAATTGTAAAACTTCACAAGGTTTTATCAAGTAGAACAAAGCTGCTTTTGCTTTGGTCTCATCTTAGTATACACATGAAAAGTGCACTCACAAAATGCAAGGGATGGGCCTCAAAATTTATTTGCCACGATTCTTTTGTTCTCTAACAATAATCTAACTCTTTTTTTCCAGCTTGTTATTGACTTTGGCAATACTGTGAATGACACTGAACAGTTGAGATGACATTACAGTTCTGGGCTGGGCTTTGCTCTTACAGGTATGACAGTGTTTTGCTACCTTTCTATGCCACCTTAAGACCTTGTAGAAAAGAAATTCCTCTTTTGCTGTATCATTTCACTGCTTTTTCATTCTAAACTGAACAAAAATCAGACTAAACACTGAGTGTTCCTTTTATTGTCCCCACTTCATTTGTTGTCTGGCTTGCATGTGGTGTATATCTTTAAAGAGATTATAGATATTTTCACAGAACATTTTGTGATGTTTTATGTCCCAGGTATGCCAAATGGACTAAGGAGCTGAAAAACGCTCCAGACCATGTGGAACCTCATGTGCCCACATGTCCAATAGATTAGTTCTCTGACACAGTGGTTCAAGACTGTCTCCTGCATAGAAAGTGAGCAGCGTGCAAGAGGAAGGCCCTCCTGGGGCTGCTTTTTGAAAACCTGGCCTTTGCCTCTTTCCATTTCCTCCTATGCTTCCATCCATTTTGGCTTTCCAGCATGCATCCCTGCCCCTTCTATCTTGAATTGAGTTGGTGAAATACTTCCAAGTAATTTATTTAGTCCTGATTGTCTAGGCAAATCTTTAATTAACATGCTTATGCACAGGTCTAAAAAGTGTAGCTTTATCTTTTGAAATATAGTATGTCTGGTTTGTAAGAATAGGGTCGTTCATATTTCAAGGGTTCTCTTCTCAAAACTAGTCCCTCTGATAAATTGAATGAATTATGTTTTTGTTGGCTGTCTTTGTTACCTCCATCACTGCGTTTCCAATTTATCAACATAGTTTTGAGAAATTGTTCGAATATGTTGCACTCATAAGCACCGTGGGGAGAAAAAATATCCATTTATTACTGCTATCGTGTTTGATTATATTATGCATATCCAAAGGACTAAAAATGAAATGTCATCTTTAATTCTCCCCTTACAGTAGACAATATCACCCTTTCTTCTCTCTTTCCAAAAACAGCTTGGAAGTTAATTCTTCATTTTCATCTTAAATCAGCCACACAAAATAGAGGCAAGTGTGCGTTAGGGAGAGGGCACGAGAAATGGGAGCCTGGAGATCTGAACTCTATTTCTGGCGCTGTCATTTGCTCTTTGCAGCCTTCAGCAAAGTCATTTGACCTCTGGTCTCCAGTGTCTCAGTTCATGAAGTAGGAAGAGTATTACCTTCCTACAGATGTCTCTAACAATTTGCCAGAATCATATCTTATCTAATCACCTGTGTTTAATATCTCTTCCTAGGGTCTTGCAAAGTCAGTGAAGGCTGAAGCGGCAAATTTTGCACACAACCAGAAATAAAACCTTTTTGGACAGTTAAAACATGAAGGCTGCTAAAAGCTTTTGAAGGGACTAACCCAAGCCAGGAGAATGGGTCACAAAACCACTGGTGCTATTCAGCTAAATCCCAATAAATGATTGATCCCAGCCTGTCAGGGCAGGAAACTGAGTGCACTTGGGTCAAGAGGATGAAACGGGCCCTCAGCACACAGCCTGGAGCTGTGGTAATCTGCTGGAGTGGGGGCTTGGCACAGCTGCCCCCAGGATGGCTGTGTGCCTGCAGCTGAGGGCGGTCACTCACAGGTGAGGATGGCCACCCTGCCTAACGGGTAGAGGAGTCTCAGAGTTGTGTAGCGTCCTGGAAATGCAGCAGCTCCTGACTGTGCACATAAGAGAAAGGTGAGTTTGGGAGCAGTTTGCTCCCCTACTGAGAGGGGAGATTGGCTAAGGTTCCTTTTTCACTGCCCTGCCAATTTGAACAGAGGTTTCCTATGGGTTGGCTCTGAGCAAAATGGCTCAGAGTGGCTGAACGCCCTTGGGCAAGCTTTTTTTTAGAGTGGAAGGGAAGAGAAGTTCCCCTTGCTGAGGGGAACTGAAGTAGAGAAAGGTTCTGTGGTGGTTCTGAGCCAGGGCTGGGGACGAATGGTCCTGCTATGTCCCAGCCCCAGGTACTGGGGGATTTTTGCAAATAAATAGTGCTTGTGCTGAGCTCACAAACTGCTGGGCTGGACCCATTGAGCTTTCTCTGAGCCCAGAGGGTGCTGATCCATCCTCTGCTCTGGGCTGGGACTCCTCGAGGCCAGCTGTGGGCTAAGCCCAGGGAGGCTATGCTGAGCTGCCCTGCAGCTTTACCCCTTCCTTTTTGTGTGATTTGCTCTAGTGATTAATGACAGCGGCTGTTTAAAAACCTGGTGCCTCATTTGCAGTCTAAACTTGTCTGGTTACAGGCTCCAGCCAGGGGCTATTTATCTCTGTGCAGGCTCTGGAGGTGGGCACTGTGGGGGAAGGGGTAGGTGCTCACCCAGGGAGGAGATGAGCCCAGCTGTTTTCATATTATCTCCGTGGGATCAAAATACCTGTTTGGGAACTGGGGGTGTTTGGTCTGGAGAAGAGGAGAGGCACAGGGAAGGCCTCATTGCTCTCTGCAACTCCCTGAAAGGAAGCTGTGGGGAGCTGGGGTCGGCCTCTTCTCACAGGTAACTGGTGATGGGACCAGAGGGAATGGCCTCAGGTTGTGCCAGGGGAGGTTCAGGTTGGAAATGAGGAGACATTTCTGCTCAGAAAGAGCAGTCAGGCACTGGGACGGGTTGCCCAGGGAGGTGGTGGTGTCACCATCCCTGGGGGTGTTCAAGGAGAGGTGGGACGTGGTTGGGTGGTGACACTGGTGGTAGGGGATGGTTGGACCAGATGACCCTGGAGGGCATTTCCAACCCTAACGACTCCAGGATTTTGTTTCCCACATCACCTGTGTAACCCCGTTGCCCCAGTGTGGCAGCAGGCACCGGCCTGGCTGTGTCGGGGCAGCTTTCTTCCCGCACCCCAGTGCCGGGGGTTCCCCAGAAGGGGCTTGGGGTGAGCCAGGGAAGCCGGGGGCAGCGCTTCGGCTGCGCTACCGGGCAGGCGCTGCCCGTGCCCGGGTGCCGGGGGTGCCGCCGGTGCCTCCCCTCGGCTGCGGGCTTTGCTGCGAGGCCTGCCAAGGGTTAACGCCGAAGCCCCACGCCCCCTTTGACGGAATGGGGCCAACCTCGCCAAATTTGAAAAGGCAGCCGGGGGCTGGGAGTGCGCCCTGGGCGCCCCGAGCAGCCCCGGACCCCGCGCGGGCAGCAGCCGCCGGGCTCGGCTGGGCTGGGGCAGGGAGCGGGGTCCCCGGTGCCCCCCGCAGCGCCCCAGGAGCAAAGCGGGGACAGCAGGAGGAGCCCCCCCGGCGGTGCAAAAATGCGGTTCGCTCTCTTCTTGTCCTGGTGCTGCTGCCTGCACGGATGCGCGCTGGGAACGGGCTTCCTCTATCAATTCCCGGCGTCCAGCCTGCAGCACAACTACCCCGAGCAGAGCTCCGGCTCGCCGGGCAGCGGCTTCGCCAGTCGCCGGTGAGTAGCAGCGGAGGGGTTTTTTTGGGGCTGAGGGGGTGCCGGGCTGCTCTGCTCCATCCTGGCTGCGTGGGCAGGCTCCCTACCTGCCGGGGCACGGAGCAGCAGCGGTGAGTGAAAGCTGAATTTTGGCCCAAAGCCGCCCTCCTGCCTGCCCCTCTGCCGGGGAGGGATGGGGGGCGGTGGGCAGCGTGTCCCCGCAGCCCCCTGCCACGGTGGGTGCCGGCAGAGGGAACCGTGCTCGCCCTCAGCTGCAACAACTTGGTCAGCTCAACAAAGGAAAGAGCTTAATTACAGAGCTGTCCTCCAGAGCCCCAGCTCTCAAATAGCTGTTTAAAACCAAAGCTCACGCTTCTCTCCCCTCCCCTTCCCCAGCCGGTTTCTCGTAGACAATATAAATCAGCCTTGATTTACTGTATCTTGCTGCTTCAGTAGAGCAAACAATTTAGTCTTCTCCCCCTCCCCTCTGTTTTCTCTGGGTATTTCTCTGGAGGTGAAACAGCTGTTCACATGAATGAGCCGCACTGTATGAAGCGGGAGAGTGGCTTAACCTGATTCCAGTTGTTCTTGAATTTCACTGTTTTTTTCCTGCAATTCCCTTAAATGGGAACTTGGGAATTTAATATTCAGGGCTCGTCCATCCTGTCTCACCCCCCTTCCCCCTCCCCTCATTAATAGCCGGTGTGTGGAGTCCTGCTGCCGTGCAGGAGGTTCGCTGGCCCTGGCTTTTTGGGCTAGGCACGGGGTTGGGGCTCCTGCGCGGTGATTTGCATCGATCGCCGTGTCACGAGCACGAGAGTGGGTGCTAGCCTCGCACAGCCCGCACATATGGTGCGTATTTCTTCTCCAAGTGGGGGTGGTTTTGTTTGCTGGCCTGTCAAACAGGCCTCAGTCTGTAGGGGGTGTGATGTTAAACTACAGTAACTGTCAAAGGGTTTGAAACAGCAGAAAATTATAGGAGAGTAATGGGATAAACCTATCCCAGCTGGAGCCGTTCCAAGGTACCCCCTTCCCCGAGCATGAGCTGCAATGAGAACCACATGTCATTTGTCTTACATATCTATTAGCCTGCAGATCTTTGTTCAGAGCTACCACGCTTACATGAGCGAGGACTGTGTCGCTGCTCACCAAAAGCCTTCCCCAATTCACACTCCTGCTTGATTTTCCCAGGCCTCAGTTGTTTGGATAGCCGACCCTTTGCCGGGGGATCACATCCCTCTCCAAGTCTATAAAGGGCTGTATAAAACCATCTAAGGCTAATTTAAACAATGATGTTGGGAAATCTCTTACTTTTTTTGTGTGTTTTTTTTTTTTTTTGGTCCGGTGGAACTCTGCCACGCGAGTATCTCCCGTTCTGGTTTAAAGCAGGGGGGAAATAAATTGAAGGGAGGGAAAAATCACTGGTGGATGTTTTGAAATAAAAAATTGGAGTACTTAGTCAAGTATCACACGTTGAAGCAATCTTTGCGTGCTTGAATTTCCCATTGAGTGGTGGAGTTTTGTTGTTGGCAAATGTCTAACAGCTTCACTTTCTGCTGGGAAAGTCGCTGTGGGAAAGCTGTACCCAGCCACAGAGCTGGACCTTGGTGGGGAGCCTCCCGCAGGGCACAGCTTCAGGTCGGGGTAGCTGTGCTTGTCTGGATCGAATGTGGTGCTGGATGAAGGACGAGGCTTTTTGCTCTAAAATTTGACGTTGATCTATGTGGATGTGAAGACTTTTTTTTTCAGGGACTGAGTCTGGCTGGTACAAACTGCTCTTTGCACTGTTCAGTGCCCCCTTTGCCATCCAAATGGGTGACCTTACAGCACCTGCCTGCCATTAGGCAACAGCAGCCGCTCTCACCTCCTTTCTGCAGACTCAATTTTGGCAAACCTCCCATTCGGGCTTTGTCCAGTGACTTCTGGCGTGCCTCCTGGATGCCCGCCGGCAGGCCAGAGCACCAAAGGGTCCTGCTGTAGCTCCCGGTCGTACCGATGTGATGCTCTGCAGCTGATGGCTCCTGATGCGAGACCCTCCCTGTTCCCACAGTTGTCTTTTTGTCCTTAATCAGCAAGTGAAGACATGATTGAGCTGTTTGGCAATCTGAGGTCACTTTTTTAAAAGTTGACTTGTCAAGAAAGTTGGATCTCTCCAAGGGAAAAAAACAAACAACAGCAACAATTTTGCTGGAATATCCTGTCTTTGTAGGAAACCGTTCCAAGCTTGAGAGCTGATTTAGGCCTTGGTATCCAGGTTGCAGGCTGTCTTGGAGATGGGCTCCCAAGGCTCTGAGGACTGCTGGATGCTTTTGCTGAGGCCCTGAGCAATGTGAAAAGCCTCTGGTGTGTGTAGGGGAAATATGGAGGGGGAAGCAGAAGGCGTATTCACGTCCTTCAGAATGAAATTATGGAAATGTTCTGGTGGAAACGTTGCTTGCTTGTCTCTTTTTTTTTTTTTTTTCTGGTTGGATTTAGTGTCAGATCTTGGTTATTGGTTAAGATGCTTGCAGTCTATCTTGGCACGTGCTTGAATTGCTGTCAAGTTCTGCAGGGGATGCACAAGTACTGATGCCTGAAGTCCGAGCAGCAGTGCTTGTTGGCCTTGTATAGTGCAGCAGCCTGGCTATTTTGTTTGAAATTCCCGTTGAATCGGGCAGTCTCCTAACAGGACA